AGTGGGCGCGGGGAGGATTGATTGATTGATTGATTGATTGATTGAAAGATTGATGGATGGATGGGTGGATGGATGGGTGGATGGATGGACAGGTGATTGATTGATTGATTGATTGATTGATTGATTAACTAAGCAATGGTTGGTTGGTTGGTTGGTTGATGGATTTGTTGGTTAGTTGGTTGATTGGTTGGTTGGTTGATGGATGGATGGATGAATGGAAGGGTGGATGGGTGGATGTATGGATGGATAGATGGATGGATAAAACGAAAGGATGGGTGGATTGATTGATTTAATTTTGATTGAATGATGGATGGATGGATGGATGGATGGGTGGATGAATGGAAGGATGGATGGGTGGATGGATGGATGGATGGATGGATAAACGAAAGGATGGGTGGATTGATTGATGGAATTTTGATTGAATGATGGATGGATGGATGGATCGATGGATTGATGGATGAATGAATGGATGGATGGATGGATGGATGGATGGATGGATGGATGGATGGATGGATGGATGGCTTTTTCATCCCAGTTTTGAGTTTTGAAGATTCAGGAGTAGAGGTTACGAGTCCAGTATTTTGAAATTGAATCGTCCGAGTCAGCGAATATGGAATACTCGTGTGTGTACTCAACTATTCAAATACTTGAATTCTGAGCACAGGCCTAATGTGTTCTTTGCTGATGGATACAGTATGTTTCACCGATAAATTGATAATAGCAATAAAACAAAAGCTGAAAAATATTGATGACTGTAAATTATGAAGTAAATAACATAGAGAGAAAGTTTGAATAGTGCACAAAGAAAATGATGTTTAAAAAGAAGTATAATGTAGCAGTAAATACAAAAAAGCAACAACAACAGGAGAGCAAAGTCTGTGTTTCATCAAAAGCCCCCACTGTGGGAAAATAGTTAGTACTCGAGTATTTACCAAGTAGTCGGAGGTTTAAGATTCGAGTCAGTATTCGAGCATTTAAAACTACCCGAGCAAGTATTCGAGCATTTAAAACTACCCGAGCAAGTATTCGTTGGTCTAAATACTCGAGTACTCGAGTGGACTAAGCACTCGCACACCCTTTATCGTAAGGAGACAGTTAATTTCGTCCCACCTCCCCCCTCCCCCCCCCTTGCATTCTTAACAGAAGTTAAAAGGGTATTCATGCATAACGTCATCTCGACCAAAGTAGTATTGTCCAACAGAAAGTGGTAAGACTCCTGATATGTATAGTAGGTCAATTTTAAAATGTTTGTTTTGTTTGTTTATTTTTGTTTTGTTTGATTTTCATCTGTTTTGCTTCTTGTCCTGTTTTTTGGTTATATCTTAGTTGTCGTTGCTTTTGTTGGAGTTTCTTTCTTTTTTTTGGGGGGGGGGGGAGGAGGAGGGGTGTATTTAGAGTATTAAATTGTTTAGCTGTTTTCTTGTTTTGCTTTGTTGTATTTTTAGAATGGGTGGAGTAGGAGAAAGAGTCATTTTTCATCTTTTTAAAGTACAACAGCAAAGTATTCAGGAAAATACTACAGGTGTAGGGTATCACAGCATTGTGCAAACAGCCATGTCCGCGCCACCTGTTACAGCTGATGTCACAGGTAGCCTTACCTCTCTGATACGTCCAAAAGTCTCGTTGTCGGAGCCATCCTCTAGCTCTGAATCGAACCAGGGGGACCACACCCACTCTGCTGGGAAGAGAGGCAGATATAGGGAGAGGTGTGTTACGGGAGGTTTTAGGGGGATTGGGGGTATGGGTTGTTGGTTTGCTTGTTTGCTTGTTTTGGTTGTTTTTTGTTTTGGGGGTTGCTGGGTTTTTTGTTTTGGTTTTTAGTTTAGTTTTAGTTAAAGTTTTGCGGCACTTGCAACACAAGAAGGTCATATAAGTGCCGGAGACTAGAGGTGTTGCTAAATAATAACAGACACACGAAAAAGGAGGTTATGTAAGGACGCAGTTGTTTGATAGAAAAGAAGGAGCAAACCACACCAAAGCTCTAGCCAGCCATCCGCTGCATTATTTTAAAAATTAACTTTTGTGTACATTTTTATAATGAAGTTTTTCCCGGGTGTCTGTGGTATTGCGCAAGGTGCCTGGCAGCCCATTCGGAAGACGTACGCTGGATTACTGTGGGGGGGAGTGGGGGGGGGGGCATTGACGATATTGTTTTATATCTCTGCCTTTCTGCTCAAATATTGTCTCCGTTCCAGCATGCGTTGGTCCTGACAAGTAGGGTCGATACCCATCTCCTAAAAGATTTAAATTGTGTGGACGGGGGGGGATTAAAACACGTGCATTTTTTAAAATATATCCTTATTATTTTATAAAATCTTGCAAGAACCATACAACCACAATTATTTCACTTGTTTTTGTTTTGTTCGCGATTTCAGTTTGATAGCAGTTGACAATTTCTAAATCTGTAAATATTTCATATCGACTGAAAGATATTACCCCTCCCCCCTTTTCCCCCTTAACCCCATTCCTTTCATTCCCCGGCTTTTCACACCACCCTGTGCGCCATCTTGAGACTTAGTCAGAAGTTCAAGGTCAAACTGAGCGTCCTTTCATATTTCTGAAAAACTGCAACAACACAATGAAAGGAACGAAAAGTGCGATCGATATGTTGTCAACAATTTTCAGCCCAATGGGACATGTGTATTCAGCTCGCCGGTACATTAACTGTATTGAGTTACCCCCCCC